AGTTGGCAAAGACTTTTTCCCAGTCTGTAGGCTGTCTCCTGCTCTCTTGATGGTTTCTTTGGCTTGCAGAAGCTGTCAGTTAATAAGGTCCACTGTCTATCTCTCTCTATGACCTGTGGGTTCGGGTTTGTACAGGAATTGGATGCCAGTCCGATTTCCATGAGGGTATTTCCTTCCTTTTCTAAGGTTCTTATGGTTGAGGTTTAACATTTACGTCTCTGATCCATTTGGAGTTAACCTTTGTGCATGGGGATAGATAGGGGTCCTGTTTCAATCTTCTGCATGTGGTCAGCCAGTTTTCCCAGCACCATTTACTGAATAGGTTCTCCTCTCCCCAGTGGTAGGTGGTGGGGGCTTTGTCAAAGATGAGTTGGTTGAGAAATTGAGGTTTTGCTTCTGGAATCTCAATTCTGTTCCATTGATCTATATGCCTGTTCCTGTACCAATACCAAGCTGTTTTGATGATTGTAGCTTTATAGTAAAATTTGAAGTCTGGTATTGTGATACCACCTGCTTTGTTTTTTTTGCTGAGGATTGTTCTGGCTATTCTTGGACGTTTGTGTTTCCATATGAATTCCTGTGTTGTTTTTTCTAGGTCTGAGAAGAATGTTGTTGATAATTTAATGGGTATTGCATTGAATCTGTAGATTGCCTTAGGTAAGATGGACATCTTCACAATGTTGATTCTTCCGATCCATGAGCATGGGATATTTTTCCACTTGTTCGTGTCATCTTTGATTTCTTTGAGCAGTGTTTTATAATTTTCATTGTAAAGGTCTTTCACGTCTCTGGTTAGGAAGATGCCAAGGTATTTCATTTTTTTTGTGGCTATTGTGAATGGAATGGTGTTTTTTATTTGGGTTTCTGTTTGTTTATTATTGGTGTAGAAAAATGCGATTGTCTTTTGTACATTTATTTTGTGTCCTGAGACTTTGCCAAAGGCCTTTATCAATGTAAGGAGGCTTTTGACAGATTCTCTTGGGTTTTCAAGGTACAGAATCAGATCATCTGCATAGAGAGATAACTTGACTTTCTCTTTTCCTATTTGAATACCTCTGATTGCCTCCTCTTCTCTGATTGCTCTAGCCAGGACTTCCAATACTACGTTGACCAGGAGGGGTGAGAGTGGGCACCCTTGTCTAGTTCCAGTTTTCAGGGGAATTGGTTCCAATTTTTGTCCATTTAGGAGTA